TCACCCCGTCCGGGATGTGCCTCGTTGCATGCGCCTTTGCAAATCCAGCGCAGGGTTCGAGGGGACGAACAAAGACTAGAGGCATCCCACCAGAAGCAACACACAACCGCTTGCAAACCGTTCTTCGTGTTTGGGGAGTGCCGGAGAAACAAGTTTTCTTGCTGGCTCTGAAGGAATCGTCTGTTTTCTTGGGGGAATCAACTCAGGGATCCCCCCGAGTAAGAACCCACAAATGGTTAATAGGGTGCCATTCTACGGAGCCAACAAGTTGTGTACCCCTGGATTCAATCAAATGCGCCTGCAGCGCGTACTCGAAGTCCTCGATGCCTGCCTTGGCATCCTGGCGAAAGGAAGGGGGAAGGGGTGGCAGTTGCTTGTTTGTTCTGAGGTAAATGGGTCTGGGAACCCCAAACTTAGTTGAATCCCTGGTTGAGTGTCCCCTTTCAGGGGGGATTCATCACTATTGGAGGGAAACAATCCCCTACCAATAGGACGGGTGCATTCGTCAGCATGATTCTGGCATGAAGGTTTGTAGGCGCGGGTCTTCACCTGCGAAGCAAAACATCTGATCTATCGAGCGAACTATGGGAACCGTTAAGCTGGGAATAGAGGGATCCAGTAAGGACGAGGCCTCGGGGAGGTTTCAACCATGCAATCGGGTTCCCTGCAGCCAAAACCCACAAGCCCAGACCTGTGGCCAGAGCAAACACGGCGCCTTTTGCCTGCTTGATTTCAAACAAGAGAAACTCCAGACAGAGCGGAAAAAGGCACAACGGAGGCCTGGGCAGTAGCACCCAACAGTGACAAAAGCCCCAAGCCAGCTTGTGCCTTCGAGAGACAATTGCGCGGGACATTGCGGTAAGTTGCCTTTCTGCAAGCGGGCGCGGATGAAACTGTGCCAAGCAGGTATCTGGAGAATCCCCCAAGTAAGGAGCCTTCATCATGTGTGAGCTCGTTTTACTCCCAGGCAAGCTTGTTATAACTTGCCGAGACTGATCCATTTGTTTCGGGATTTTGAATGGACCCTCACCTGCTCACTTGCCAAACAAAACCAGGTTGACCTGCGACAATGGCTCAAAGAATATTCTGGCAAAGCCACGCAGGTGACGCCCCAACCATCCAAAGCATATGGAGCGACTGTGGGCAGGGGAGGGTTGGGGAATGAAGCTATGAAGCTATGACGCTATCTTGGTTGCTCTTGACCCCCCTGCAAAAAGTTTATAACTTTTTGGGGGGTTTGGTGGAAAACACCTGTCTTTCCCAAAAAGTTAAAGTCTAAAGACCCGTTGCCCAATAGCAGTCCAGCAGTCAAGCTATGGAGGCAGAAAGCGGTAAGCCCCTTTTTGTGCCCGTCGCCCCGCGGGGAAGCTGCTGCCAGCCCAAAGGCCTCCACGTTCTGCGGGCCGCCGTCAATTCCTCGATTGGAACGTTGCCCGTGGTGACTGGTGGGAGGGGGGGTGCGGGGGAGGGGAGGTTGGGGACGAGGGTGGGGTTGGGGGAGGGGGGGGGGGCGGGGGGGGGTGGCAAACAAGTGTAAGCCCAATTTCTGGTTGCGGAGTCCAAGCCCCCAGCTGCAAATTCAGGGGCTGATCCAAACGCATGAAGGGGTAGCCTGCCATAGCCTGCCACTTGCTAGAGCTGGGAAGTAAGAAGTTCCCCACACAAAGCCACGGGCAGTTCTTTCACTGACCATATGGGTGCAACTCAAACAGAGATACGGGGTACCTCCACATTGGTTGGTTTCCTTTTGGTGCCCCTTGCAAACCAACCAAACGGCAGTGGTTCCCTAAACATGCGGTGTCCATCTTTTATCCTTCAGGCTTGATGGTTCGTGTTGCAAGGGATGGCATTCGCCACCTCGCATCCATGCTTCAAGCCTGTCTGGTCACACAGAATTCTCCCGGATTCTCCCTCCAGCTTCGTAGATGAATCTACCTGCGCCATCCCCTCCTAACCGTGGGCATCTTGCCAGTTGCGTTAGGCCAAAAAGGATGACCCTTGGCTCCCACCTCCCAAGCCGAGCTTCCCAGAACTGCTAGAAGTTCTTCCTTGGCCGGGCTCTTCCCCCTTGGCTCCAGCGCGGGTGGGCTCAGCACGCACACGTCAAATCCGGTGCATGCATATTGGCAGTGTGGATATACATATATATATATATATACATATATATATATATATACATATGTACATATATATATATACATTCTTCTGTATCCCTTAATGTTAAAGGATTTGGAGGCGATAGGCGAGCTTGTGCAAAACGATGAAGGCCCGTCAAGTAAGAAAGCAAGCACTCCCTTGGTACGGCCCTGAATCAGTATTGTCCAAAAGCACTTGGCAGTGCCCACAACCCACTGACTAATCGCTCACTGGGTTCTACTGACTGTGGTTGTACAGGTTGAGGTAAGATTTCTGAAAGGGCCAACCGCCTACTAAAGGGTTACGGGTAGGAGGCCCAAGGATGGCCAAACCCTGCAGGCGTGCTTTCTCCTGCCAAAAGGGCTCCGCATCCAACTAAGCTGAATCGCATCCTTTGCGCAATGGTACTGAACCCACAAACCGGTGGAGGGCCGCTGAATCCGTGGTGTTCTCTTTAGCTGAAGCATCCGTTTGGCTATGATTCTAACGGGACAAACCGAAAAGGTCTCCAACTTGCGGATCCGTTTGGCTATGATCCTACCGGGAAACACCAACCAAAAGGAGACCAAGGTCCAAGCTCCAGCCATGAGAGTTCACGCCACGGGGCTCCTTCTCCTTGATGGCCGCCTCCAGCTTCACCAAGAGCTCCGAGCCGTGGGCCCAGAGCTCGGAGGCCCGGCCGTCCATGGGATCCGAGGTGAAACCCAGGGGGAGAAATGCGGGGAAAGGCGCCCAAAGGCCGGAGTTGTTTGGACGTCCGGTTCGAAAAAGTTGTTATCAACAAAGCGATTTTGTGTTTGCAGCTCGTTCAATTCTTTGAGGTTGGGATTGTTTTGGGTGAAGCTGCGGGCGAGTGTCTTGGGCAGGTCGAGAGTTGATGGCGGTTTCTTCATGTGCATGCGGAACTGATTGGAGTTCGTTGGAAGAGCCTTCCGAGTCACATCCGAAACTGAAAGGAAGGAGGCATTGCGGCCTCCTCAACGTAACTGAGTTTGAATGGGGACAATCGCAAAACAAAGGTTAAGAATCATCGGGATTTTTCTAGCACCCATGCAGTAGAGCTCAGGTTTACGTTTTGTCGACATCTTCGCACATCGCATGAAGCAGTTCTGCGCCCTTCGAGCCGACAAAACCGCGTCCTGCAAGCATACAGCTGGAACCAATGGGGCCTCCCAACGCCACTGCCCCATTTTCATTCAACACAGCTGCGGGAAATTGCCAACTTCTGAAATTCCGTTAAGGAGAATGCAAGGGTGCCCTCTTGAGGGTGCCTTAAAGAGAAACTCACACATTATCGTGCTTCTCCAATTTGGAGACACATCCAGTTGACAACAATTCGGACCGGTGTCTTTTTGGATCGAGGGGCTAGGTCGGTCAGGGACGCCGACTAGTTGTCTACGGATTATGGATTTTCATACGTGGACCACCCTCAAACATAGCGAGAGGCGGACATACAGCCACATGAATTTGTGCTGTCCACCATAGCGCCAAAGGTTCCATGTTCAATTCAACCCTCATACTCAGCTGTCAGGGTTTCAAAGGGGGCACCAGAATGCGATTGGCACTCGCTACATACGTCTTCGAAGCCTACAGCTCGGATGACACAAGCAGTGCAAATTGAACATATTATCATGCCCTAATGTCAAGCGAGGGGGTGTGTCTGTGCAGGTTCAGGTGTGCTTACATGTTCGTGTCCATCTTGCAAAACGAGAAAGGCGCATTGCCGCAATCTACTCAGGCGAAAGGTGCCCGGAAGTGGTTTTTTGCTCCCACAGGCTCTCCCAGCATCCCCAACGACGCCCTGTTGGGAAAGAACAGTTCAACAGAAAAGTGCAGTGCTGTGGCAATGAGGGGTGTGTTCAAGTTTCAGTTTTACCCATCACCTCTCCCTTTAAGTGAAGACTCCGCACTTCAAAAGACACAAAGGGGAAATTGGCGACGTCCAAAACACCTGGGCCATGAACAGCTTTCAGAGCTTCAAACGGTAGTTCCCCAGATAATCGAGGAAAACAAAAACAAAAAAAACGGCCGTGAGGTTTAAATGATTTTAAGTAAGCAGAAGAGAAAGACGCCTAAGATAGGTCACCCGATTTGGGGTGTAAAACCAGTGGATTCCGAAGTCCCAAGCCACAGGAACGGTGAAGAACTTTTTCGGGGTAAGCTTCGGATTTCACGGGAAGCCAGCGCCCTGTCTTAACTCCTGAGTGCACTTTCGGATGGACCACTCATCAGGTCTATCCGAAAAGTTGCTGTGTCCAGGAACTCAAGGAGTGAGGAAACCACCAAAAGGGAAACCACCCAAAGGGATATCAAAAGGAAAACCCTCAAAGGCGCAGCCACCAAGATCTTCGAAACTTCCGCCCGGCTCTGCCGGACTTTACTGGTAGAATGTGACTCCTCATGCATGCACCTGAAGTAGGTGACGCGGTCAGGAGCAACCATGGCCCACGTAGGGAGTTTTGGTCCCCTTGCGTGGCCATCTGAGCTTTATCTTTCAGAGAGGCAGGAAGCAAGTTAATTTGAACCCCAAATTGACAAACCCCTGGTTGACTACTAGGGGGTGCCCCCTTGTTGCGGGTGTTTATCACTTTTGGAGAGGACACCCTGATCAGAAGGACGGGTTCTGCTTGGATTCAGGTCATTCGTCACCTATATCAGTGCCTCGGAACAACCCTGAGTTGGGAACCTCTGCTACACTATCAAAGTAATTGGCTTGGTTGTTGTTGACCCCTCTGCAAAAAGCTTTTCACTTGTGGGCCCCATGGAAAACAACGCGCCTGTTTCACGCAGAAAGTCAAAGTCCAAAGATCCGGTACCAAAAATTGCCGTCAGAAAGCTGGGGAGGGATTCGAATGGGACCCCGCCTTCTGCTTTTCCGAGGCGTTGGACCAGTCCGGCTGTGGCTCCTGCGTGCCTGGTGGGTGAGCGAGCCCCTCGGGCAGTTGCCCCGAAAATGGGTGTGGCTCGTCCAAATATGTCCAAATCAGGGTAACCCGAAAACGGGCTTCGGTGGCCCTGTCGGTTTCCCTTTAAACCAGAAATGAAAAGGCAAAACCACGGAGCAGTTCAAACAGTTCCGCGTACCTCGTTGGAACAGAGTGACGCAAACGGGACCTCCAGTTTTTGCCACACCCCCCATTTGATGGATGGGCAATATCTCCATGTCTCTGACGTGCCCCAGCCATATATTCAACCCGTGCCCCAAACGGGTGCTTTGTTGCATTTCACGGAGCCAGCAGATGGCCACCTCCTCGCACATTGTAGCCGCAAGGCTCTTGACTCAGGGATCACCGCGTCCAACAGGTATATCGTCCAAAACGAGACAACCGGCGCCCAGGTCAAGTTCCAGAATGGGAAAGACAGGTCACTTGCCCCCAGAATGGCGTGGAAGTCGAAGTTTGAGAATTCGAGAACATGACCAGCACAGCAAAAGAGGTCTTTAACGCAATTGTCCAGTTTTGGTCGATTCGCCTTGCGGAGATCCAAACTTGCAAGCATCCAGCCAGGGTCTTTCTTTCGCAATGCTTCACCTCCCGACCCCAAAACGGACCATCTAAAAAGGGAAACCCCACAGAGCAAACAGAGCAAACACGGGATGGGCCGCTCAGCCCCAAATGCCAACGTAGCATGCCGCCTTGCCTGGGGAATAGATCCAACCTCATGGGGCCCCTGGTCGGGTTGCGGGCATTCCCTTGGGTTTCTGATGGACGGTTCTGAGCACAGGCGCCCTGCTGGAAAAACAAATCGGCCCTGGCGAATGTCTAGAACCAACTTGACACCAGTGCCCTTCATCAACCAAACTGACCTAAGAAAAACAGACGCCTGTGCTTCGGATCGAACCTTTCCGGGCGCGTGGGTCCGGATCCCGCCTCTCAGGGCCGCCAACGCCCGGGTGGAAGAATCCACGTCCTCCAGAAGGCCTCAAATGCCACCCCATAAGCTTTCTGCGGCCCCACCCCGCTGTCTTCAGGGGGTCTTAGAACCTGAAGAGAAGCTCTGAACGGGTAGGGAGCCCTCTTCTTGATGTCTCCCCCCGCATTTTCTGCAGAGTCGAGGCTCATTTTCAGGGGTCCCGCGGACCCTGTCTTTTCTTCCATGTTGGTTGGGCGACGCTGACACGGGCTCCAAACCTTGTTTGGGTCAACCAGGGGGAAAGCAAGTTTGGTGATTCAATACTGTACCAGGACAGTGACCCCTTGGCCACTCACAGAAAAAGCAGGATTGCCAACAACTGGTCAAGAAGCCTGCAGTCTACACCATGGTTGTGGTGCAGGGAAATCTCTGAAATCAGTGGTGCCAAAGCCGGCATTCCCATCCCTGTGACCACTTTGTCACTTTGAAGGGGATGGCCGATCACAGAATGTGGCAACCCGAAACCCCGCCCATTTTCCACCAGCCTCCCTCCCCAATGCTCCGAAGGCACGCGCGTGCTTCCGGTAGTTCACCGGCCTCGACGGGACGGGCGGGTGACACCCTCGGATCTGAGCTACGCCACGCTTCCGGGAAATCAATTTAACTCCCAATAAGACACGTTGGGCCATGTTTGTTAGACCTATTCAAGACTACCCAGCAAAAAAGGCAGGTTGAGAGGGAACCGTCCCCCAAAAAAAGGGTTTTGATTCCCTAGAAACACTCAGGCCTTGGACAACCCACTGGCCATAAATCGGGGCCACGGCAGGCCGTAGCTCGTAAGCTCCTCCGTCAAGTTCACGGCCCGGGACCACTCCTCAAGCCAAGAGAACGGGAGGAGTACACCGAACATGCACCCTCCTGTCCCCACTCACACGGAACCCACCAGAGGGTCCCTGAAAGAAAGAAAAATCGTCTTCCAGGACCCCTCAGTCAGGCTTCATGTTAGTGAACAAGGGATGACTAACTCAAAATGGGCCAATCGATCAGAATCGTGCCATCTACTTTCATCGAACTGCAATCAAAATGGTGGTAAGGAATCACGATGGCGGGCCGCACTGATTTCTGGTTGGGCCACACCTCCAATGCTGCTTCGGCCAAACCAACGAGCAAACAGAAATGAAATGAGGTCGTTCCCGAAGACGGAAGATATCAGATGGCAAGGGCTTGCCCAAGACAATTTAAAGGAACCATCCCTGACAAATATGTATACAAGGGTGTTTTTTGTCAAACCTCCACCTTGAGCATACTTCAAGCATTACTGTATAATGTGTCGTTCCTGCATGAGCCAAACATATTTTGTTTTTGTTTGTCATCTGTTTTTTTGGTTTATCCATGTTTCCCCTCTGCGGAAAGGGGCCCCGTTGTCACGTTGTCCTTTCTTCGGCGAGCTCACTAGAAATGAGAGATCAACAAAAAGAGGATATGAGACGAATACATGGCAGAGATAAGATCGTAAAACTAAAGATGACACGAAAAATATTAAATAGCTGAAAAAGGTAAGTTCCTTTTTCCTAACTTAGAGTCAGTGATGTGCACAGGATGTTCTAAGTAGATGATATTATTTTGTGAGATACGAGAGAAGAATTTGGATGAAATAAAGTCCAAGCCTTTCACGCTGTATTAAGAAGCGGTTGGATGACGACTAGCAACAGCTGGAACCTTGGAGTGGGCACATATGTGTGCATCAAGTTTTGATGGTACCCCCTGGGGGGGGGGGGGGTAAAGAGGATCAAACGGAAAACCACCAATTTTGAGGGTCCCTTATTTTGCGACACACCCGCATGTTCAACAAACAGCAACACATTGAACACCACTTGGGGTCGCCCCCAGTTCCATCACATCAAATCAAATTTCGACACTTCTGGCGAGCCGAGGCGCCGCGTTGTACACTGCGGCATCCACCAGCAGATGGTACACCTCAAAACGCTCAACCGCTTGTGTGGTCAGTAGCCGTGGGCAAGTCTCACTGGGCAAGCACACTTGCATGATCTTGCGTGCATATGATATAGTATAGGTAGATTTGCATCCAACTTCGGGTTGCTTGAAAGTGTGAACAGCGTACTCGTTGTTGTTTGAGCATCAACCCATTGGTTTTTGGATGTGTTTGGCTCAACTAATCCGGAATGTTAACATCAAAATGGTGTCATTGCAATACCAAAGCGAATAAAGTGAGTAGAACAACTCCTTTATGTTGACCCGGATTAAGACATTAACATTTTTCAACCCACAATTTGAAGAAGCCCTGCTCCAGGGGAAAACACCTCCCTCTTAAGCGACTGCGCTGCTCTCCCGAAAAAAATCCCCCACCTCCATACAGTTTTACCCTTTGTGCCCACATGCATGAGGCGGGGACCCTTTGTGTGGGGGCCAGCAGGCCCAAGCCCCCAACTGAGGAATCAAACCCCCCCCTGTTGCCACGGAACCTCACTACCGTTGCAAGGATAGAAATGGCCTGAAAGGAAAAACACCAACAAACGGTGGTTTTGTCACTCAAAAGGTGGATGGACCAAATCCTGCACCTGGTGAGTGAGTTATCCCACTATTTCCAGGGTCTTGATCTATCCCAAGTGGTGCCTGGTGGATCTCGTCCACCCCTACGTCCAAACCCCCCGCTCGTGGAAGCGAACAGCGGCAGCTCAAGCTCCGGCCTTGGTCCATGCCTGCTCCAGGCCCAGCTGCTCCTGCGCCGCAGCCTTGGCCTCGGAGGGCGAGAGAACCGAGGTGATTCCATGGTCTGTTCACATTGTGCGAAACTACCAGGAAATAGGTGTTGTTATTTTTCCTTTTTTTCTTTTTTGTTGTTGCGTCACTCAAGACTATGTGTCTTGGTTACCCTCTCTTCTCACAAATGACAACTTCCCTACCAAGGTGGCTGGACCAACCGAGTCTAAGTGGAGGTGGTCTGATGCAGCCTGCTCTTAGAAGGCCGCCTGATTGGATCGTTTGGAACTGTCAAAGGTATTCTGCTTGGAACGAGGTGGTTCCATTCTCTGCCGAAGCCGGAAGGCCCTGTTGATTGCACATATGGCGAGTAGGCGCCGGACTTTGCTCATGAGGTGGCAGAAGTAATGCAGGATCTGGAGAAGCATGACAAGGTGGTTCGACTAAGAGACACAATTACGCGCCTCCAAGAGGACATGTGACACAGGACAATTGGGTTGTCACCCTGAGTCGCTTTGCAGCGGGCGACTAGTCTCCTGTATGTACATGACACTGGCAGCCTGTTGGGTTATCCCCCTTGTTTTGGAGGCTAACCCCCATATCCCCCCATGTCTTCTCCAAACCAGACGCAGGCTACCAATAACATTGTTCGGTGCTGTATCTTCTTTGAGGGGAAATTGAACTCGCTTGCCCAATGCGCTGGGAAGGTAAAAGGCAAACGTTTCAATCCTGGACATGATATGCACCAGACAGTTCAATGCCATGTTTGAAGTGCAGTCCTCCCAAACCACCCTTTCTGCGGTTCACCGTGCTACAAAACCGGGATTTAAACCGGCGAATCTGTGCCGGGCCAGCGGCGGCTTCAGGCACCTGCGGGTCCTCAAGGACAAGGGGTGACGCTAAAACACCCTGTCTTTCCAGCCCTTGGTCTGGTGGCAGAAAACCTTGTCTTTTGCAGCCCCCTGCTAAAAATGAACAATAGCAAAACTGAAAACATGCCAACAGCTGTGACGCTTTTTCCAGCCATGTAAGCTGATGATCGGAGGGTTCTTCAAAACGAAAGCTGTCCTTTTGGGCAACCCAGGATTCCCTTGACATGACAGAAATCAGCCGTAAAACTCCACTTCCAACAACGATGAAAGCGACATCCACTTCCGACAACGTATGGCAGTTCACCCGAATTTTGAGACGCCCTAACCACTTTACGGGATCAGGCTAAAAATAGGGTTCCTCGTGTCTCCTCGGTGGGTGGCTTAATCATCCCTAGTTGGTGGTTTGGTTGGTTTGGTTGGACCTTAGGGGCACCATCTCATTTGGCCGTCCAAACCCCCAGACCAGCTACTCCAAACCACAGATTGAGGGCCTGGTGGGATGTTCCAGTCTTCCCCAAGCCCCTTTTAGGGTTTCACCACTATGTGTCAAGACAGGGGACCCAAATGGTGTCCTTGAGCCCCACCGAAATCGGCTCCCTCCAAAATGCCCGTGGCTCAAAATCAAGCAGCTGGGGTTTCGCAGGTTTTTAGTTCTAGTCTTTTTGTTGAACTGAATGAGGTACCCAAGGGTAACTTTGAGGTTCTCTTAAGTCTCAGAGCTTTTCGGATGATTCTGAGGCCCATGGGCCAGCTGCTTGTTCTAGTCTTCCCATATACTAAGGCGGCAATTTGGGGGATTCCAGTTTTTGACCGCCCTCCGCAGAAAGCTTCAATTGTTTGTGGGTCCAATGCAAAACCCCACCTGTTCCAACAAAACAAATAAAGTCCAACAATCCGTTTTCAAAAAAAGGCCATACCTGTTTCTCTGGGCTCAAAGGGACCGGAGAAACCCCATCGCTCTCCTGCCGGAGCCGCAGCAAACCATGGCGCAGGTCCGCCACCGCCTCCTGCCAACACGGAAAACAAACTCAGCAAACAGAACAAGACTTGTATGGGGGTTGTCCGAAAATGGGTCTGTCTTGTTTAACGTAGTTCGCCTTTGTTTGGTGGTTTTAAAGGGAAACCAAAAGGAAAACAGTCGTTTTGCGGGGCCCCCCACCCCCCCCCTCAAAACAGACAGACCCAACTAGTAACGGAATCGACGGAGCCCTCCAAATGTGTATATAGCTTCTCTTCGATTCCCGTACATAGCACACACCACCCCACAAAAGGGAAGCCTCAGCACAAAAACACCCATGTTCAACTTTCAGAAGTGGATCCCCAAGTAAGGACCTTCATGATGAGCTCCTTTCACTCCCAAGCGAGCTCGCCATATAGTTTGACGCAAACACACACACACACACAGACACACACACACACAGACACACACACACACACAGAGACACACACACACTTCAAATCTAGAACTTACAAAAAGCCACAACATTGAACCAGGTAGAACCGCTACCACATTTCCCTTTCGGTGGGTAAGGGAAATGACTTCATGACGAAAGTGGGTTGGAATTGAGCCATCTTCTACCCAACTGTAAGCTACTTGTTAATAGTTTAGCCCCATAAGTTTGTCAGATATTCCCCTGCCCCAATTTACCCAACTGACCCAAACACCCTGCCTGCAGCCCCAAGGCCGCTGGCCAGTCGCAAGCCGCCTCAGGGAAACCGGACGGATTCAAGGGGCCCTTCCAACCGTTGATTCCATAGATGTAAACGATCTTCAAGCCATTCATGGAGTAAGGTTGTAGCCACGGCTATGACTGGGGTTGTGGTGTTAGACCCCTTATGGCCTAATGGCTATGATTTACTACTGGATTGAACAGGATCAAATCCACGCAAGATGGATCAACACCCATGAACACTGGGCCTGCCACTTTGATTTGGAACATCCTTCTCAGAAATCCCTGCTTTTCAGTGAAAAAGCCAGAAAGCCGCAAGCCGTCAGGCCGCGCTTTTCCTTCTGACACCTTTTGGTTTCTTTTACACCGCAAACCTCCAAGAGGCTGAATGCAACGAGGCAATGCGTACAACGAGAAGAAACCAGCCAGCCAGCCAGCCAGCCAGCCAGCCAGCCAGCCAACCAACCAACCAAGCAACCACAGCGCGAGCGACCAATCCCAGCTCCTAAACCGGAGCGCAACGCCGCAAAACCCAAAGCGTCGTTTCCACATCTTTCGTCGCGAAACACCTTGATTCTCCAGGGCCGCAGGGAAGGCATCCTGGGAACCATCCCCGGTTTCATGCCAAGGGATCCCTAAGTTCCTAACCGCCCCACCTAACTGAGAACCAAACAAAACGGGCGAACGACCACTTATCATCTGATCATCTTGTGAGAGATGCTTCATTGGGTTCCAACGTCCCGTGTGCCAGAAAACTGTCCTTGATATCCCTTGATCACTTCAGCCAAGCTTCGATGTGGCCTTCCAGCATAATGCGATAGGTCATGACATCCGGAGGCCAGCCAGCATCTTTCATGCTCTCCTCAGCAAAGAAAAGGCTAGGCAGTCAACAGCCACCAAAAAACGGCTCCCGTAAGGCCACCCACCAAACACCTTTTTCCGGAAGGGAGTCCCGGATGCCTTTTTCTTTGGCGGTCGATCTGGAAGGGAACCCCCTAAAAAAAACGTTTCCGGTAGGCAAGCTACAGCCTGTCTTCTTCTTCGATGGGAAATACCCCTCGCAACATGTTTCCCGTTGGGAAAAGCACACCTTTTCTTGATTCGCGTTGAAAGAAACCCACCAGCAGCAAAAACGCACTATCCCCGCCAAACTTCAGGGGGCCCCGGAGATGGCCAGCGGGTGCGTCAGTTTCACTTGTCCGGCCGAAGAAATTCCAAGGGGGACCCCCTTCCACGAAACTCACTTCTTTAGTGGGTAGGCCCAAAGGCCTCCGATGTTTGTTTCTTGCAAAATCCATAACTAAGATGGTCCTTTCGAAAAAGGCCTCTCAACTCCAGATCTGTGTTTACTTGACAACCGGTCATGCATGCACCTAGGCGCTAGGCAACCCTGTGGTTCGCGCAAGGTTCCTTCCGTTGACCGTTGCAGGTTCACGTTTCCACCCAAAGCAAGGTGTTCCCTATGTTTCCCCGCCCAACAGCACCCCTAACAAAACAAACTCACTTTAACACTTGCCTGACAAGTGTTTACACTGGCAAAAATGGCACGTACCCTGTCCTGACTCCTGATAGCTGCCCCCCGCCCCCTCTTTGAAAACCACAAAAACAAACTCAGAAATTCCCCAGCTCCGGCACGGCTCCCTTCCAACCACCAGCTAGGAATCTTCGCCATCTCCGCCAACAAAAGGACGGCAGGTTGCGGGCCGAGTGGCCATCACCTCCTGCGCTGCCTCCATGTCGCCGCGGCGGCAGTGGATGGCCATCATCATGTTGTACCTGGGCGTGGCTGAAATGAAATTGCGACCCACAGCCCATAGGGTGGCCTTTAAAATTGGCCTTCAGGATTGGCTTAAGGAAACCACGGGGAAAAACTACTTGGGGTTAAGCCTTGAGAGCTGGGATCCCATGGGTGCAGTTCCTTTCTCGCGAAACGTAGACAGCGACAAAATGGGGTTGGACAAAGCGTGGTGTAGGGTATGACCAAGAAACTGACTTCAGTTTGCGTCCGCCAATAATTGCCAGAACAAAGAAGCAACAAACTCAAAACAACCAAGGCGCTGTGTCCAGTTCCTAGGGAATAAAGGCTGCATGGTTGCCCCCCTGTGAACTAGACTTCCCGCTTCCCTCAAAGGTCCAAGAGTTGGGATCTGCCAAAGGGAGCCAACATGAAGCCGAGCAGTTGAATGGCCCCCTCAGTTTAGCGCCCCGAATTGCTCGCCAATCAGTTGTCGGCGATACGTGCACATGGAAGCGCACGACCCGCTATGGAGAACTAAGAACGTATTTTGCAGGAAGAGTCAGCACTAATTACCATGTCTCACCAGCGTGAATGGAGCTCGCACTTGCGCGTGCGTGCCACGAATGCCTTGATGGCAGCCGACGGTCACAGCTCTGCTCAGGCCTTGCTTCGCTGAGTCTAGCTGAGCCTTCCACAAGCAAGGAATCCACCCCAGCCACCAACCCCTGCCGGAGAGAGATCTCAGGCTGCGGCGCGAACCTCGGCGAGTGAGGAGCGCGAACAACACCCGCTTTGTCCCATGTCCAAAATCCCAAGCGCTGTCCGAAAAGCCGTGGTTGGCGGGTGCTGGTAACAAGCATCTGGTTTTCAGAGGACAAGAATCGCATGGTGCTGAAGTTCACGCTTCAAGGGAACGGCTTGCATAGTGAGAACCCGCATGGCACGGTTCGAGCCTGCCTTTATGCAGAATGATTTGTCGCAACTGGGGAGCAGGATCCTGGATGCGCCTTTCGCTGATCCACCCGAAACATGCAAATGCAAAGAGCACTAAGAAAGAGGATGGAATCCACAGTGGGCATCCAGCATACTTTCTGGAAGTCGGCTCAAGCCAGCAAACTGGCAACTAAATGTCGACTTGTAAGTCTGGCGTCACTCTCTCTCTCTCAAAAAAAATAAAATAAAAAAAAAAAAAAACAAAAAACAAAACGTACCACTCGTCGTCATGACCATCTTCCGTGACAACCAACAGGAAGCATGGACAAAACAGCTGAAGCGAACTGCAAGCTAGGGGTGGCTTAGCGAAGAGAAGAAAGGGTGGCCCTGAAGCCGAAAACACATAACGCAGAGCATAAGGTCCAAAAGAGGATGCTTGGTTGTTCTGACCATGCAAAAAAGAAGAAGGAACAAAACACTTGTGCAGGCATGGCCCACCAAGGCAAGGAGCTGGTTTCCATGACGCTTGTCTTGATGGCTAAGTGACTGCTCCACAAGCAACGCACTACCACAACCTCCCCCCGCCCCCGGTGCCTATACAACAAAATATCCATGAGGAAACGCCAATGTCAAAATCACCGGCTTTTCTCAAATGGAGAAAACGCCACATTCGAGAAAAGCAAAAGGTCAAAAGGTCGATTCGCTTCAGACAGGTCTGTGCAAGTGCATGCACATCCGATAGAACAGGCGCTCTTTCAACGGGAGCGCAACAGGACCCTTCAGGAAGTCGGCATTTGTTTTCCTCTCCGCTTTGGGTTAACTAGTGGGCCGCTCAAAAGCGTAAATCCGCAGAGCCCTCCTGAACTAACTCCCCTTTTCTGGGTAAAGGGAATGATGAAACCCGCTGCAGACTCTACCCAACTGTTCTGTTCCCTCCCTTCCTGAGTGGAAGGCCCAAAACAAGTCTAAACTCTTCTTTTTTTTTCGCACTTTGGTTACCGTTTGGTCTTCCTAAAAAAGTAAGTCCAGGACCTCTGGGAGGTGAGACTTGTCCCAAACAGGCCGCCGCAATGCAAATCAAACGCATCAACCGCCTCCGCATCAACGCCTCCGCATCCTTGGGGCCGCGGCTGGTTTCGCACCCCGCCGAGGTCCACGAGGCGTTGGAAGACACGCTGGGCATCCTCATAGTAGCCTCGATGAATCCCCGATGAATCCCGGGAGGGGCGTGGAACGGGGGCCACCGGCCAGCCCGGTCAGCCCAAGTGGCGAAATGCGGTTGGTTGTTTGTTTGTTGGTCTCCCTTTCATATAAGCCATGATGCAGGGTTGCCGAATTCCTAAAGTCGACCCGGAAGTTCAGAGAGGATTATGTACATGTCTTGCCCTTCAGCTTCAACCAACTGTGTTGGTCTAAAGCAGAAAATGTTCGGCTCAGGATCACCTGCCCCGAACACCTCCTCCCCCTTCGCATCAAGCTGCTTTCTGTCAATCGACTCATGCGAAGAGGTTTACAGGGTTAACCCCGCTATACCCCGTTGAGTCCTTGTTCAACTTAAACATGTCTACACGCCTATTCTTCAAGCAACCTCCTGTGGCTTCGGCACCAAGCCCTGGTTGTGCAAACAATGTTGCCCAATCCTGGAGGGTTCCGACGTCAGCTTCACTCCAATTGATGGTTTGGATTGGTGGCGTGGAGGTTGGGGGGGTGGCTTCCCGCTTACCCTCGACAGTACCAGGGATTTCCAGAAATTCAAACATTTCAATCCACTCTACTTGAGGTTACCTGATAGCGGACCTATGGAAAAGCAGGGCATGGCCCTGACAGCATGCGGGACAAAGCCATTCAGCCAGCCAAATGTGTGGCAAGTTTTGTTGAAACGGACCAGCCCAATACTACAATAGTTTCCCCTTGTTTGCTGTATGCAACCCTGGGTAGCTGCACGTAGCATTGAACCAAGCTACTTCATGATTATGGAAGATACTCCCCTATGAACATGGGAACCCCGAAACTACAAAAAATCAAGAGGAATCTCCTTTGGGCGGCGCCTCTTCCCTGCTTCTTAGGGGACTAGATGCAGCTCACGTGTGCGAGCCTGCACGCGCCAGGCCAATGAAGGCGCACCTGGGCAACGCATCCGAGCCGTTTGTTAGCTGCAGTCTGAGCCATACAGCACCAATGGGCCGTTTTTCTTTGAGGGTACACCGTTTTGGTGCTTTGAAGGGAAACCAATGGCAACAGGAAAATCACCATCTTAGTGGGTCCCCTAAAAAAACGACACCCTGGTATGGTGTTAAGGCTGACTAAGCCTTAGTACGCCTCAAGGCTAACCAACACCTTTTTGCCAGGAGGGATCGAGGGAGAGAGAGAGAGAAAGAGAGAGAGAGAGAGTGCTCTGGAGATGCCCTGTGGCGCCAAAGTCCATTCAACATCATGCTGAAATTGCTCCAACCTGGCAACAACATGGCTTCTCCAATGAGCGAACTCTCAAAAAGGTGTTTTCCTTTGGTTCTCCTCGGAGAAAACAACAAAAAAAACCTTTGCTTTCCGAGGCTTCGGCGTGTAGTGGGCCCCCTCAGGCCTAACCCCATCGCTGCGCATACGTGTGAGCAGCCGCAGTGCAAGCTCCACCTGCGACGGTGGAAGAGCCGCAAGATCCGAAGGCAAACCTGCCGAACATATGGGTGTCTTGTTTGAAGGGTACCCTTTTCGGATGGTGTTGAAGGTAAACCCAAATGAAACCACCCATTTTGGGGTTCCCCCATGTTGAGACAAACCCACATGCATGTTGAAGGTGATTGAAAACAGGAATCAAAGCGCAAAACAAACGGCCCACGGGATGTGTCCAACACTTCAAAGATGGATCCCTTGCTGGCAAAGGGGACCAAACAGGCAGGAATTTTCTCCAATTGCGGGGCACACCGATGTCAATTCTACAGGGGGGGAAACCAATCAGCTCACGGTCCCAAAAGAACAACCCTACCACCACAGCTTTTCCCCAATATTTCCCCAACGCATAACCCAAAAATATGATTTTTGACTCCGCATACTTTGCATTGCCAGAACACCTCCTGAGCCCGAAGTCCCGTCCCAAGGGGGGTCCTCGACATCGCACCCCGCACCCCGCCTGGCCAGCGCTGCCGACGGCCTTGATCAGATTGAGATAGGTGACCTTGTTCCATCTGATCCCCGCCTGGCCGTGAAGGTGGGCCCAATGACGGCTCTACGAGTTCGTCTGCGACTGACGCGAGCAAGACACTCCTCAAGCAAGACAAACTTTCCATGAGCGGTACACAAACAAACAAGCAAAGCAACGCCAAACCGGCACCAACAAACAGAAACTACCAAACAACACACAAACGCTCAAACAAACCACACCAACCAAACAAATACAAATGTGAAAGAAACAAACAAACAAGCAAGAAAGCTATCAATCAAACAAACCAATAATCAGGAATGCAAACAAACACAAAAACAAACAACAAATCAAACTGTGATTCGGGCACGAGCCTGTGCCCAGGCAATGGGTAAGTTGGGGTAAACAAGCCACAAAAGAAAGGTTCCCCAAAAGCAAACCAATCCCTGGTCCCAAAGATCAGGGTTTCCCACACACCAGAGAACAACAACCAAAGGAAAACAAACCAAACAAGAAAAGGGTTAACCCGCAACCTTGGTCGACAACAGGCCGCACGACTGGTCCCTACCAACCTGGCGGCGGCCCGAGGTCTCTTTCTCCCCCGAGATGCCGTCGGTCGACGCAGGGGTTCGGCGACGCCCATTCGAGGCGCGACGGAACCCAAAACTTGAGCCAAAACACCACAGGTCGGTCACTAACGCGACGTCCCTGATGATGATATTAACCATGGCTAATCACACCCCCCTCACGAGGAGCCCGTCATATGACGGGTGGAGCGTGCCATTTACTGATAGGATTTAACTGCTCGCATGTGTCCGCAAACAGCTGGACACTACCGCCGTCAGCGGTGGAGCAAACCCACAAAGGCAGTTGCGCGACATCCCGGGCATTAAATTCCCGCCACCACCCCGAATTAATCGGGGTAACGCTGTCCAACACACCTTGTGGAAAGGTCCACATGACGACACTAGGTCACAACTGTTTGCATCAACAATGCAAGAAGTTTAATTCTTATCAGAAGCCATGAAATAAAAGATAACGTATGTCCATTAGTACCCTCGCCTAACGGCAAGAGGTACTCCTGACCATGCGTACCTGAAAAATGCTTGAATTCCGCAAACCCGGGAGTAACCCCCCATCAGTTCGCTTTCCCTCTCACTCACACTGCTTCCTGATGAACACGTCCAGCAGCCCAGCAGCGGTATGGGAGAGACATGACCTCCGCGCCTCAGCGGTCCGGGAGGAACATCACCACCTCCGCACCGCGCCGACCATTGGAGAATGGACGCAAGCCTATCGGCCGCAACCCTCGTGACTCAGCCTACCGGCTATCGTCACGTCTCCTCCGGTCACGTCCGCCCCGCGCACGGTACCTATCACGATCCCTTTCGGATCTCCTGCGATCATCTCGCCTTCGATCTCGCTCCCGATCGAGTGAATCATCATCACGACGATCACGAGCATCGTCCCTCCTCCGGTCTCGATCATCCTCGCGCCGCGGACGGTATCTGCGCCTTCTCCACTCTCTGGAATCCCTGGTGTCCACGGTCCTAACGGACCTCCGATTCCCTACGCCTCCTCCCAGAGCGAGAGTTCGTCACGATCTGGTTGAGAGCCTCCAGTGCTGACGCGTCCTCACCATTTCTGATGAAATCCCTGACTTGCTTGTTCAGCACTCTGTCGGTGGAGATCGACAAGAAAGCGTCCACCACCGAATCTCCCCGCCTTCAGGTTTCTTTGCCATCGCCTTGGAGGCCGTCAAAGGCGCTACCGCATCCTTTGCCGAAGATCTGCCAAGCGCGGAGTGAAGATCATCTCCACTAGCCTCTCTTGCTGCCGCACCTGGTCTGCTGTCAACGTCATCAGGCCTCGTCGATGCCTCTCGCTTCGTTGACTCCTTCACAGTCTCGTCAGGATCCCAACGTGACTTCCTTTCTCTCTTCTGCCCTTCAGCCGACCCCCGACTACCGCCAGGAGCGTCGTCTCCGCCTACCTTCCCCTTCTTGACCTCAACTCTCGGTTCGGCCTGCTTCGCCTCCTTAGCCTCAGCCTTTGGAGCCGGAGCACTCTTCGCCTCAGACACTGAAGCGACCTTTCCTTTTGGCTCGGCCTTTGGAACCGGGGTCATTTTAGCCTTCGCACTCGGCCGGGCCCCTTCAACCGCTATCGCGACCCAAGTCTTCTTCGGCTGAGCCGCTGCTGCATCAACCTCCATCGGAGCTGGTCCAGCATCATCCTTTGCTTTTGCCTTTGGGACAGATGGGCTACCGCCCTTCCCAGATCCTTTACCTGGCACTTCACCCGACTTCGGTGGTGGGCCGGAAGGACTACCGCCCTTACCGCCCTTCTCTCCCTTCTTTCCTTTTCCTTTTCCGCCCTTGGTGACCGGCTCCTGCTTGGGACCAGGACCCGGCGCAGCATGGTGCACCGATTGAAGTCCTTCAATATCCACGTCCAATGGCTCCGGTTGACGACCATCAAGGACCGTCCTTACCCTCTCGTCACTAACGTAGACGAATGGGTCACGGAAGGGAGCGGGAGGCTCTGACTGCCCGGCACTGATTGCCTTCTGCACCTTGGCTATCGCCTCCTTCAATCTCTTCTTCTCATCGTACCCGGTCGCCGACACCATGTACCCCCTGAGCTGCGATATCAACGCATGGCTGGCCAGGATGTCCACGTCCTTCCGATGGGTCGGATACAACGGAGTCAGATGACCCGCCGCGGAGCCAATCACATACGCCATCGGGATGTAGAAGGATAAGTACGTATCATGACGAGCGAACTTCCTAACGGAAGTCGTCATACGCCTACCCCACTGAGCAGCGTGCCTCGGGTTAGCACGGAAGTACTCCGTGACCGAATCAAATCTATCGACTTGATTGGTCATAATCAGGTGCTTCGCCACCCACTTCTCCACGAACGCATCCGAGGCCGAAATCCCCGACACATAGGAGAACTGGAAGAGCACCTTCGCCAGCTCATCCCACGCCGTATCAACTCCTCCCTTGTCTTCACCAAGATAAGGGGGCAGTCTGATGCCGCTCTGCACCGTCATCCTCAGGTCAGACGCCATCGAATAGGAAATCAGGTTCCTCTTGATGACTCCGACCACTTCGGCGGGGATCCTCTTGGGCTTGAACTGCCCCATGGTCCTCACCCACTCCGGGACGATGCGGCACCCCTCGAAGTCATTCTCCTCCGCGTTGGGGATAAAGTTCGGGTAGAAGACCGGGAGCGCACACCCAGGACACAAATGCATCCCATTTGGCGTCATCTCCGCGCACCTCAAACAGAACGTGGTGGTCACATTCAACCTGACCTCCTCACGCGATCGCCTGTGCTCTCCCCTAACGGGGGTGAAGTCGCCGTAGTCCCATGCCCGATGGTACACTATCGTGTAATCATCGTACATGTATGCTGCCTTCCAAGCCCCCATGTGGATCTCGTTCCGAACCGCAAGGGTCTTCCTCCTCGTCAAAAACACAGGTCCAACCAAGGACCAGTGCACCCGAAGGTCCACCATCACCACCACGTATCTACCCGAGTAGTTTCGTAGCCTGTCCCTGACGTACCACGAAGGCGATACCTCGGCATTCGGCGCCATGGTTCCCACAAGTGGGATCAGGCCCTCATCCTGCCTTCCATCTCCAATGGTCTCGTACACATCGGGCCTCGTGATCAATATCTCGATCATGGCCTTTCCGTTTCGCCTCATCCTTTGGAGCTGAACCGCCTTCCTAAAGTCCGAGAACTTCATGACGACGTACCCCACCATGGGGAGTTCATTCCAATGCATCTCGTACATCAGAGATCCGCCAGGCGCATCTTCTTGGGTGTACCTTTGCCTAACGGCACTGTAACTCATGTCGCGTCCGATCCGCGTGTGCCTAACGGCCACTAACCTAGTGCTCTCCTTGAGGAGGACACCATTCCCGTCGTACATGACCATGAGCATCGCCTCAACTTGCCCTATCGGGAAAGCTTTGAGCGTCGGAATGAAGAACTTCCACGACATCTCGGCGTTCTCCATGCCCGAGATCTCCTTCAGGAACCAGATGGCCTGGTCACTTTTCACCCAGTTTCCAGCCTCACGCCCGGTCTCCTTCAGCACACGTTCCTCGAATAACTCCGAGACTCTCTTCGAGTTGATGACCAGACCCTCGAAATCGCACGAGAGCAGTCTCATCAACTCCTTAGCCGCCTCCCGCCCTGCAACGGTGCCCGCGGTCTCCTCGTAGTTCGGGAGGTAGTCGCCCAACCTTGTTTTCGAGGGAACCACAATCTGGCATGTAGCGGCCTCATCAGGGATAACCCCAGTTTCCCTCAACTCTGGATTGATTTCCCGCCTATCGGCAAGATAATCCTTCCTCCCATCCAGGACCACAAGATTGTAGGTCATCTTGCTCGCCGCCTCACTAGGTCTGAACCTCCTGCTATCATCCAGCTGATCAGGAGCAAAGGGTCCACTGGGGGCAGCTGCACTTACCATAGGCGCTCCTCGCCCAGAGCATAGGTGCTTCTTGTGGAAGTTCACCATCTGGTTCAGCTGCGACAGGGCATAGGCACGCCTCCAATGACGCACTCTTCATCCCAGCCTCAGTCAGAGGAGCCTCAGGCTTGTCATAACTCGCCTTTCCGCCCCATCTCGCCGCGACTAGCTCAGCAGACTTCGCAGGGTCGATCAGATTGCCCGACCATTCAGGCATGTTGCTCAACCTCCTAGTCAACGCGTCTACCGACGCAGCCAAGTCTTCATCCGTCACGGTGTAAGGGTCAACCTTCTCCCTGTCTTCTTGACCCACGTCCGGAAGCCTATAGTCCCCGCGGATGGCCTCCATCGCGGCCCTCTCGGCTTCCTCAGCCTCCTTCTGCGTGGCCACTGCTCTCGGAATCAAGAGCGCTACCTCGGCTGGCAACGACTTCTCCATGTCTATCGGAGTGTTCTTGGGAAGGATCCTTCGATCATCTCCCTCCCCGCTGTACACATAGTCAGGAGCAGTCTTCCGGTACTCCTCGAAGGTAGCCCCTTTGAAGTTGGTGATCTCGCTCGGGTC